CTTCAGCTGCCTGGCGGCCGGCAGCCATCTTGGGTGGCAGTTAATTTGCATATCCTGCTGATTAGCCAATGGGAAGGGTGTCAGGGTTATGGTCAATTTGCATGTTTCTCTTTTATTAGATAGGATATGAAAGCAGAAAACAGTATAATGTACCCCCATATACCTGGTCCACAGATTCTATAATTATCTATACTAATAAAAGGGTAATATGTTAATTAGATCAGACATCTTCTGGACGTCCTTCCAGACAAAGCCACGGTGGCGGGGGCCGAGGCAGAGGTGGTTAGGGGCAATCAGGCTGTCAGGGGAGGACAACTAGGGGGCAATCAGGCCAGCAGGTGAGGGCAGTTAGGGGGTGATCAGGCCAGCAGGGTAGCAGTTAGGGGGTGATCAGGCCAGCAGGATGAAGCAGTTAGGGGCGATCAAGCCAGCAGGGGAGCAGTTAGGGGGCGATCAGGCCAACAGGCAGAGGTAGTTACGGGCGATCAGGCAGGCAGGCAGGCAGGCAGGTAAGCGGTTAGGAGCCAGCGGTCCCAGATTGCGAGAGAGATGTCTGACTGCTGTGGGCCTAAACCGGCAGTCGGACATCCCCTGAGGGGTTTTGGATTGGAGAAGGTGCCGGCAGGGCTGAGGGGATCCCCCCTCCCGTGCATGAATTTCATGCACTGGGCCTCTAGTTATATTGTTTACTTGGTTTTTTAAATTTATTTTTAGAGAGAAAGGAATGGAGAAAGAAAAATCATCAATTTTGTTTTTTTTCCATTTATTTATGCATTCATTGGTTGATTCTTGTATGTGCCCTGACAGGGGATCAAACCCACAACCTTGGCATATCAGGATGATTCTCTAACCAACTGAGCTACCCAACCAAGGCCTATTGTAGTTTAATTTCTCTCTTCCTTTTGTCTTTCGTGTTTCCTCTCTCCTTCCCTCTTTTACACATGCACTTCTATAGCATTTAGATGCACATACCCTGCATCTATACAGTATCTAGTGTTTAATACCTGGGTTTAAAACAAACCCTTGATTTCATGTCATTTCATCCTTAAAGTCTCTTATGTTTTATTCCAATACATATTTTTGTCCTGCCAAACAAAATTTGGGTTAAAAATGTTGCTTTTTATTTCTATAATTATCTGTAGCTTTTGTCTTATCAGTATATGATGAACTTATTTTATCCAATTCCAAACTTATCCCTTTAACTTGAGATACACTCTGATTTCTATTCTATCCTTTTAAAACGAACTACTAAACTTATTTTACAACCCATAGTTTGAAAACCACTATTCTAAGCCAAGTACTTCCAAAGAGGACTTTGGACCATCCTATGCTATGATAAATAAAAGCTTTTTAACAACCTAGCTCTCAGTTGTGTATAGACTGTTAACATTTCAATTGTGGATGACATCTCTGGGTCTCTATAACTCTAATATCTTTCCTTTGAAAAGCACTTTTGCAGATTTATATCCCTGTGGATAAGTACAACGGCATACACAGTAAATGCCCTCTCATCCAGTGAAGTCGGGTACAGCAGGGAATGACAAAAATGACATTGCCTATTTTCACTTTAAATGAATATACATTTATTAACTACACTTCTGATTTTGGACAAAGGTTTTGGAGTTTTTTCTTGGAAAGGCTAGGTCCATGGCATAAATAATTGCATCATCTATAATTTTTAGTTTCCCATTTTAAAAAGCAATCTAGGTGCAGAACCCCTTTAGATTCTACTACTGGAATTTTTCTCCCAGTGTTTTACTTTAGTCTTACTTGTATTTAACTTGGCTGCAGTTATGGTTGTAGCCACTTAACTTTATTGAATCTTCTTAAAACATTTAAGTTTCCTAAAACTATAACTTGTTCTGTTCATTCTAACATTTCACAGATCTACGTAACACTTGATTATTTGACATAAGTATAATAACAAATGGAACTGGCAGATACTGGCAGAAGTAGAAACAGATAGGCATACTTCAGAGAAGCTTTATAGCTGCAATTTGTCAATGTGTCAATGGACACCAACAGGTGAGTTCATAGAGGGAATGGAGAGCATCATATAAGTCACTAAATTGGTTAGTTGAAAGTCAGTAAGAGAGCTTTTGTTATCCTGAAGTAGGCAGAAGCATCTTGCACCTCTAAATGTAATAAAATTCTTGGCTTTCATAATGATAACTAACATTTGGGTTTACATGTCTCATATAATCTTTACAAAAACTCTGTGAGTAGCACAAGGAAGGAGAAACCGAGGTTCTGCAAATTTAAGAAACTTTCACATAATCAAAATAGCAAGCTATCTTAATGCCAGCTTATATGACTTTTTACAACAACCCTTACGCTTTAGTCTTTTTCAAGCCATGTCCATCACCCCTCCCCACTGTGTAGACTTACATGCTAAATTCTTGAATCTATAAGCAGATCTATAATCTATGAGGTGATTTCCCAGACACCAAGAGTGGTAGGTGTGATTGTGTGTGTGTGTGTGTGTGGTGTGTGTGTGTGTGTGTGTGTGTGTGTGTGTAAGTTGCATGTATCTCCATCTAATACATATTATTTTTTCCTTTGTAAACAATAGACTGTGGTCTCCATGGGAGAAGTGCATGTGTCTGCTAAGTACCTATCACATACCCTACATCTATACAGTACCTAGTGTTTAATACATGAACGAATGGACATTTATACTTTTCCAATTTATCATGACATCAAGTCCCACGACAACTCCTTTTTCTCGTTTTGTTTTCACTTCCTCATTGAACTAGATGCACAATGAATAATTTCACTATTGGCTTTACCAATATCACATAACATTGCCTCTCTTACTTCTGCATCCTTTTGTTGTACCCACTCTGTAAAAGCCTAATACTTGATTAATTTGGGCATCCTCCATTCTTACATATAAAAACATCAGAATACATAGACACCAGAGATGCAGAGAACTGCTGGAGAAAAATCACACAACTTTTCATATTGCTAATAATATAAATTAATGTTCTAACATGTAAACTGGACCTTCAATGCAGCCAAAACACTTCTATATGTTGCTAGTTAGTTCCTTTTCCTAGTTCTTCTAGAATCTGATTTAAATTTTTCCTACATTCCTCAAATCTCCAACCCAACCACCTTGTGCCCAGTGACTCTCAGTTTGTGTCTTCATTTCTTTCTTCACAGAGGCAAGACCTCCCTTAATTTGTTGCCTCTCTGAGTCTCCACTA